ATAGGAAATAAACTTGAAGCATTTTGCTGTCTATATTATAAACAAATACTACATGTATCAGATCACATGGGGAGACATCCAACAAATCACATAATGATCACATGCATCGTGTTCCTGATGGTCTGGAGGATGAGTAAACAACCCAGACACATTCTGAATATGGCATTCAAAACTGAACCTCAAACAATGCAAAAGCTGATCAAGTGAACTAAAAGGAGAATCTATGATACTTAAACACTGCAGCACATGGCGAAATGTATTAGTAACAGCTCAATGCTCATTTGCTAATATACGTGCTTTCCTTTACCCTTTGTATTCCCTTGTTATCCTCTGATGAGTACTGTGCGAAATACACTGCCTGTCCAAAAGTCACACACTCTAATATTTAGTTAGACCGCCTTTAGCTTTGATTACGGCTCGCATTCGCCGTGGCATCATTTCGATAAGCTTTTGCAATGTCACAACATTATTTTTCTTCTCCAGCACATCCCAAAGATTCTCAATGGGGTAAAGGTCTGTCTGGACTCTGTGTTGGCCAATCCATGTGTGAAAGTAATGTCTCATACTCCCTGAACCATTCTTTAATAATTTGAGCCCGATGAATCCTGACACTGTCATCTTGGAATATGCCTGTGCCATCAAGGAAGAAAAAATTAATTGGCGGAAAAACCTGGTCATTCAGTATATTCAGGTAGGCAGCTGACCTCATTTTTTTGGGGACATACCGTTCCTGAACCTAGGCTAATTCCAATGGAAGGCTCTTACATATTTGCTTAGCTACATCCAGGTGATGACTTTTTTTTGGACAGGCAGTGTACATAGTATGACTCTTCACACGTGTGTTGCTTTACAGCATTTTATTGTACAGTATGTGCGCTATGGTCTGCCTCTGGGAGTCATGCCTGTGGTTTTCAGAATATTGCAATGACCTCGTGTTATTGTATTTTCACTATAGCTGGAGTGCTAAGGTTGCCTACCCCTGGTCAACATGGTTAAGTAAGGACTTGCACAGAGGAGGCCCACCCTGTGGCTTTATACCAGCAAAATATTAGCAACATAATACTAAATGCAACTATACCATATGTGTACGGATTAATTGTTTTTCTTTCTAGAAACTAATTGCTATCAAATTGATGATGGAAATCACTATAATGTTAAAGAAGAACTTTACCCACCAATTTATTGTCTGCCCAAACAGTTACTTTTAAGGCATGCTGACTGTCAAAGTTGCCAGGTTGCTTATTTCAGCTCTCAACTGAACTTTCAAGCCCTCAGAAGGCTGGTGCCATAGCGGATCACATGTGGAGCACTATGGCACCTGCATCCAAATAGAGTCTAAGATGGCACCTTCCTTGGCTGTAAAGGATAGGAGGGTGTAGTTTCCGCTTTAATAAAACAATAGATAACTGAGCACAGCTCAGGTAGGAGGACTCACCACAGAATCAGTTAATCAGATTAGGCCTCGTTACCTGATGCTGCTGAAACAGAGGAAACCTTTATATATGCATGGAAAGTTTGAGAGCTGGTTGCTGTCAAAATGAGATCAAGTGGCATGGGCACAGTCTACCGATACATTTATGGTATGGTATTTGAAGACGAAAGGGAGCATAACAGAACCAGATATGAAACCTGATGGTTGTTTGGTGACTTTGATGTTGTAAAATTCATAAAGATAAGCAGACTTAGGTGGGTAAGTCTTATCAATTGGATGAAAAAGACTCTGCCAAGAAAGTTCTACTAACAGTGTCTACAGAGGATCCTCCCTCACAAAAATCAATAACTGTAATGTGAAAAAGAAGGATTTAAAATGAAGCAGCAATGATTGGGTGTAGAAACAGGAAAGTAATTGCTTGCAACCAAGATGAACAGGATCTCTTGAAAGCTCACCCAAGACCCGTGGGTTCTCAACTGATAGGTCGCAACCTAAAAGTGAGTCTCAACCCCATGTTCAGGTGGGTCGCCGCATGCCTTCTACTGTGCCAGATGAGAGCCTCCTCAGCCTCCCCCTAGCACAGCACTGTCAGTTCTCGCACCAAGCAGCCATTCAAAATATGCTGCCTGGCACCGAGTGTCAGCTTGAGGTGGGGTGGGCTCAGGAGCCGCGAGGAAAATCCATACAGTCTGTGTTATTGAGGGCTTGTTCACACCAGTACAGTTCGTTAATCGCACATCAGTCCCGTGTGATTAACACACTGTACCACGCAATCGCACCTACCGCATGTTCTGGTGTGGGAGGTACATTGCGTTGTCATTCATTTGAATGGCAACCCAAACGCACCTCCTGCCCACAGTTCGATCGTGTACCACAATGCCATGTGTTCCAGTGTGGTGTGACTTGGGTCATGACTTAATGACTAAGGACAAATGTGGGTCTTGGGGTTACACAGGTTAAGAAACCACTGCTCTAGACTAACACCTATACAGCAAGGGAGGAAAGTGGGATTTTTGCAATATTTTCACATCTGTAATATGTATTTTTTTATTGGCCCTGCCATCATGAGTTGCAGGATATGAGATGGCCAACAGCAAAAGGGTTAAGCTATCTGCAGACTACTGAAGGAGAGTGCAAGCTTTTAGCATGATGTACACAGTATATGAAAAATCCACTCCTAATAAGATGCATATTCCTGTTTCATTGGATAGAGATTGTACCCTTACAACCGCCATCATATATGCACGTTATGGAAAGTGAAACTCACTAAAGCAAAATGCAGGTTTTCCGGCATACAATAAATTAATTCAACAACCGTTAATTACCAGCAGCTCTGCACATGTAACTTTTCACTTAGTGACATTATGTTAAATTGCCATTACTTTCCTGGATCCCTCTCTTAGTCTCTGATGAGCTCTGAGTGCAAGTCTTTAAAAATAATAGACAACTTAGAGGAAGGTTTAAGGTTAAGTGGCATCCATGCACATGATTATTCATGACTAGTACAGATGCGACGTTCAGGACGCTACCATTCCTCGCTCATTGATTAGTCAGTATTTAAATGTTGTGTGTCACCTCAGTACAATTTGCAAGGACTGTGTAAAGACTGAAGAAAAGAAAACTAGACAAAGTTGGAGTTGCTACCAAAAGCTACCTAAGGTAAGCTACACAGGCAATATTAATATCTTGCTACCATGATATTTCGGGCTGATTCATGCTTTTGAAATCCTTTGAACTCCATCAACACATGTACAGTAACGCTCTATATGTTGCTCTTTACCATATATTGTGTTAATGCAGCTAGAAGTAACAAATGATTGCTAAACAGATGGAATCAAAGGCCCCCAGTGGAGCAACTACACAAGTAGCATATAGTAACAATCTTGCAAATCACATGAGGCACCAATCGTATGTGATTGATTGCTACAAGATGCTAGAGCATGCTAGCTTACTATATACACACACAAGGAATCATTCAAGAAGTTAAACAAAAATGTTCTTAATTCTTGCACTGGGGCTATCCCCGTACTGCAAGGGTTAAGTGCTTGTTTCCGTCTAAGTGTGAAAACAAAAAAAAGTTATACCAATCCGATCCTCAGAGCCGGCTGGCTGTTAGACCAGACTTTCCAGCCTCTCTCCCCCTCCGCTCCAACAGTCTAAGGTACGGTGAGGTATTGGATGTGATGATGCCAAGGGGCATACCACCGCTGGATACAAGCTTGAGAGAGCGCTGTAACAGCCAGCTGGCTGTGAGGTTCGAGTGAGTATAACCCAGTGTTGGTATGCCCCTCAGCGTCCTTGTGTCAAATCTACAGGTTAGCACCACTGCAAGGGTTAAGAATCCCCCCCCCCCCCCAGAGTTCTTCTTTAAAGCTGAACTTAAGGCAGATATAAAAAGACACAAATTAAGCTATGTCTACAGACACCTTTAATTTTAAATATGTCTTGTTCAGTCAAGAGTTATTGTTGTTCTAACTAACTGTTTTATGGCTATTAGTATACTGTCATTGCAGGTCGAATGTCATATCAGGAAAATACCACATTATGACAACAAGATGGAGCTGAGGAGCACAGGAAATAAGTGTTTATTTCCTATGCCCCTCAGCTTGATCTACTGGCCATAATGTTAATCTGCAAAGGAAAATATGCTAACAATGTTTGTTTTTGCCTCCATTGGCACAAAATGAATGTTTATGCAATTTAGCAGGGTGAATGGCTCTGCGAATAGTTTACAAATACACTCCATACTGTCTCAGTGAAAATGGTCATCTATAAACCTAAATCACACTCAAATGAAATGATCAGTGATTTGGAGAAAACAATAAAAGTTGCTTATAAACAGAATTTTAACAACATGAAATGATTTATGTTCCCCAGGGTCTATACTATCAAAACCAGCTAAAGATTTCAGAGGGGGAGGAGCTTATCACACCCATCATGGTACTTATACACAGGAGCTAAACGAAAGCATAAAATAGTTAGGTTGTGTAAACGTGGTATTTCCTTTGGATCTTTATGTGCTTGGAAACACACAGGAGTGATAGAAGGTTTCACAAGGTATTCAAACACACGATAGAAACCACAAAACCCAGTAGATCTGCCCTAATTCCATTATAAATAGTACTGGGAACAATTGTGAAACTCGTGCTCTACTTGTCATTGTCATCGTTAGCAGCTAAGCTAGAGAAGTAACACACTAGAGCAGTAATTACAAAAATTTAAAATAGCTCATGACACTAATACATGAAAAAAAATGATTTAAGTAAAGTTAATGGACATGACATCAGGAGCAAAATAAATAATTGGCAGGTTTGTTCATGTATCAGGAATTAAAGCTATAACGTTCTTCTTCAATTAGTGGGTAGGGGCTGGTGGCAACAGTATCAAAATACAAACTTGCATAATTCAGCTGCATGTGTCGATGGACCAATCATATCCACTCAACTCTCTCTAGCTCAGCAACATGGTTCCTGTCAGGGCCAGTCTGGAAGTGAAAGCCAGCCCTGGTATGAAATGTATGATTGTCATCTAAGTGAGGTCCCATTCAGACTACAGGTTGTGGTAGCACACTTAACACAATTTGCTTTACCTCCATGGCACATGCCAAGAGCCTAGAAGAGAAAGTCAACATGTTTGATTGGTCAAAAATCCCCCTTCATCAGGGCTTAGATTCTGGCTTAAAATATGAGGAATCCTGGACCATAAACTGCAAAATAAAGGACAAGTGACCTGTATCTTTACAGTTCATATCCTTTTATTTTGCAATATATTGTCTAGAATTACTAATATTTACAGCCAGAATCAAAGTCCTGATGAAGGGGGATTTCTGACCACTGAAACACGTTGAGGGGAATTGATCAAAACTGGAGCAAACAAAATCTAGAGCCGCTCTATTTGGTTTGTTCAGTTAGGCTTTGAAAATGAAAGATATAAGCTGATGATGTTCCAGATTCTGTCTACTCAGTTTTGATAAATTACCCCCGTTCTCTTTTTTTCTTGTCAAATGCAATACAGGCTTACTGGACTTTGATCAGACGTGTAGTGCTCCCATTCCTTCTTTAAATTCTTCAGGATCTCAGTCCAGGAAGTAGATGCAGATCCTGGAGGGTGCCAGAACAAATATGGCTCCCTCCATCCAGTGAGAAGATCAGATGAAGGCATTGTCAATGGCAGTGCTGCATTCTCTGGGAGAGGTAACAAAACCTGTGCCTGTTAGTGTTACACTTATGAAGGAGCATGCAAACATTTTATGTGAAAAATATATATGATGCTCGATCCACTTTAAAGGAGAATTCCTTAAACCTTTGCTCTCTGGATTTTGGGGGAGGCAAGTGTAGTGCTATAAATTACTCTTTTCTTTGTGGCTACGAGACCCCAAATTTTTGTCCTCACAACTTGTTTCCAGCCCAGCATACTTCTGTCCCCTGAGCATCGCTCTGCAGCCTGTTCCTTTACATCTCTATAGGGCTGACTACTTTACAAATGCCTGCTGCAGAGTGGTGTTCAGAGAAACGTGTTGAGACTGGAAGAAAGCTAAGGTGAGCCCAATTTTATAACAGTGGTGAATGTAATTTACAGCATCACTTTCTTCCTCCCCCAAATCCAAAGAAGGAATGTTCCCAGAGTTCTTTTAAGTCTCAAAAAAATGGAGTAACAAAATCAATGTGTATAGTATGAATGCAGCAGAGGGACATATAACAGGTGAGTTACTTACAATTGGCTGTAGCTGGGCGCCGGGGAGCATGAACTGCATCTGCTGCGCAATCATGGCAGCAGCTGTCTTTTGCTGTATAAGGTTATTTCGTCCATTGATTTCTAGCTGTGTTTTTAAGTGCGGCGGAGGGTGCAGATATTTACAGTTTTCTCTTGTACACCGGCCCTGGGGGAAGAAGAAGAAGACAACAATATCTTTAAGTTATGATGTGTGACAATAACGAAGTTATATTGTATATCTACAAACACGAACGACTGTCTGCTACTCGACACTACAAATGTACAACAACCAAAAGGTACCAAGATTTTTTTTTACAGACACAGCCTGACCCTCAGACTACAGTGGAGTACCTATAGCAATACCAATTATTGCCAGACTGTAATGTACCTGTGACACATTACCATCACGTTGCACTTGAAAAACAGTTTAAACAGTGTTGCCTGAGTGTGCTGCAGCGCTAACCCACGCTGCTTGTACAAAGCAACATCATAGAGATGACAGATGTCTTCATCCACATGCTCATTCATGGGACCTTACATGAATTTGGCTGAGGGCAAAAAACACCAATTCATTTACTTATAAAAGTAATAAACAAATAAATGTGACCTCTAGACCGATACAAAAGTCACAAATAACACAGTTGTGTATTTGTTGATTCATTATTAAATGTGTTTTTTTAAACCCAAGCAGTGTTTGACCTGGTATCAGTGTGCAATCCCTATACAACAGAGCTTAGACAGATAGGGAAAAGCAGCACAAGTAGCCAACCAACTGCAAGGCAGTGCTCATGCGCTAAAAAGAACAATGCAGATAGGAGGAGTGGGCAGAATGACAGGGACATGAGCTCATCAGTCTTCTGTTTCTCCTTCAGTTGTCCAGGCTGGGGCAGGGACAGGATCTAGTTCTACTAATAAACTGCTGTAGAAAAAAATCAGGTCTCAAGGCTGACTCTGCTGTCTGGCAGTGCGGTTTAAATCTCAGGAATGCAAATTCTGTGACAGGTAAACAGCTCACATATATGCATATGAAATGGAACAAGTATGCAGATCAAGAGTTCTGACTTCACTTTGATTTCGCTGGTTGCACACTTCTGGTCTTTGACTCAGTAAATACCAAAATCAGACACAGCAGGCAACAAGCATTTTCAGAAGGTCAGCAATGACAGTGCACATATTTCTCTCAGTGAAGCTAGGACACAACAGCCTTTCCCCTCTTTACATGATTTATTATGCAATTAAGCTGAAATGTTCACTAGTATCAAGTATATGTTCTGTTTGCACTGACCACTAGTACAATTTAAATCCAAGGTGTTTTCCTAATAGACCTTGAAGTATATTTCCACTTTTGCAGTCAAATGTGAAGAAACCCCTACTATATACTTGTTATGTGTTCTCATTTACACAGCATACCTAATAATATAAATATGTATTACCTTTTAGATATTTCTTTGGAGAAGGCCTTTGTGCAGGCTGCAAGATATTCTGAACAGTTTGAAAGGGAGTATGCCCCCATAGAAAGAATAGGGGCACTCTGAACTTCCTCTCTTCAGCATACAATACTTCTAGATCCTTAACTCTTTGTTAGGACAGACAGTGTTCAAATCTAGTTCACAACTGATAATGAAATCTGCCAGCACAGTACACACAGGGTTAATTATGGTAAACTAAAACTCCACACCCTCTAGTACTAAAGACTTGCATTTTTCAGCTTGAATACATTTTTATATATCAGCTGAATACAGGACACATGTTTTTGTGAACAAATATCTGGAAACACTTAAATATTATTTGTTCACCACCACAGCCTCCGGGTTCCCCTGTGCTGCTTTCCTATACTTCTTTGGAGGCGAGCACTCATCACTTAGAGATAATCTCCCTGTTCCCCCTCCTCGGGACTATAATTCCATCGCCACCTCAGACACTGCGCATGCACGCCATCAGTGCACCCTGGCAGCATCATATCATCAGCTTGGAGTCTCTCTTTTTCCCAGGAGCGTGCACGTAAGGGTGGCTCCATTGGACTCTGGAAGGCAACAGAGCCACCCAAAAACCCGGAACCTGTGCTAGTGATCTTTGGACTGGCTCCAACATGAAGAAAGGCAAGATTTTATAGAAGAGGAAGCAGAATACTGGGTAAATACCAGCTTCTTAGGTCAGCTGCTATAACTGATTTTAATATTTTAGGGTTTTATACTACTAACATTGCATATGGGGGAAGCTAGGTGAGATTTTAAGCAAGTAAAAAGCCCTTAAAAATGGAAGAAGCAATTTTAAATATTTTAGCTATGTGAATAGGAACATGTAACAAATAAAATATTAGGAGCTATCCCAATTTGGCTGCAAATGGAGATACATTTTAAACCAAACTGCCCCACTAACGCCGACTGATACTTACCTTGCTCGTGTTTCCCCGTCGCCTAGTTACTACATCCATTAGCGGCTGTAAATTTGTCTAAAGATGGTTTTGTTTCTTATCTGAGACAAAGAAACACTTGAATAAAAGTTCTTCCTTTGTCAGAGTGATTTGAAAGGAAAGAGAGACCTTGACATTACTATAGCTGTTGAATGATAAAATTCCCATGCAGGAAAAACTCAGTTGACCTTAGAATTCTGTCACAAAAACATTTGCCTACAACTTGGTCTCCACGTCTATAAACACATTAAATAGCAGGATCCAGCCTGGCATTAATGCAATAACACCTAAAATGGTTGTTATCATCATTATGTTACGCTTGGAGACTAACAGGAGAAGCACGAAATGACAGGCTTCCAACAGTCAATATAGTCTACTTGATTATAGGCTGTGCCGGGTTTGTGTCCCAGAAATAAAGGGTTTCTTTTCAAACATCACAAAAGACAGCTTTCAACTCGCCTGCCCCTCCCCAGCACCAGGACTTGGCTGTGCCTTTTCTTGCAGCCTGAGCTGTCAAGTTCTATGAAATAACTGGTTGGCATCTGATGTTGGCCTGGATGTACAAACCAGCACTTGGGCACACAATGGCACTTCTGTTTTATATGTCAGTGTCCTGGAAAAGCAACGAGAGGCACAAGAGAATAACCTCTGAGATGTTCAAAGACCTCTGCTCTACTCTGCTTCAATGATGAAGTGTCATAAATGCTTCAGGAAATATAGGAAAATTGTCAAAACATCCAACTAGTGCTGAATTAGGCAGGCTACACAAATATTAACAATCATCTAATTTTTTCAGACCCCTGAGTGGAAAGGTTTAAAAGAACCCCCAATGACATAATCAATTGGCTCTTTATGTTAAAGGCATTATCCAATGTTGAAAACAAAGTCTAGAAATGGACACCAAGGGTGCAGCCTACCCGCTCACTAATTCCTTTATACTTGTCTGGAATTCCTCTTTAAAGCTGAAGTGTAGTATATGCATATAATATCTCCCCTTGTTCCCCCTCTCCCTGATTAACATGCAATTATATTGTTTTAATAAAATCATTTTGGTTTTCAATAGGAACCTGTTTTGAGAGTCAGTGATGTTATCGCTAGCACTGTCTGTTGCTCTTTGCACCGTGTTTGGCGGGAGGGGCCGGCAGGCTTCTGTAAATGTCCCAGCTTCCTGGCTTGGATCTTTTTGAAAAGATTTATATGAAAGTACACACCCCCAGGATCCCTTTATATGTGACTGCATCCCATTGCTGGCCACTGTTGGTGCAAAATTTAGTTTTGAGTCTGCTGATTGGTTGACTAGCTACAGGCACGTCAGTATGGATGCCGGGAATGTGTTCTTTCACATGAAGCTCAGGAAAAAAAATTATTGATGGCAGAGAAGGCTTACAAATGTGAGCGGGGAACAAATTCTGGTATGGATCAGGGGAGAAGTGATTGGTAAATGATGGAGGTCATTCGGACAGTGAATGAAGGTGGGCTCAAGATGCTGCTGCAGCTTCCAAGGGTTATGATGATGCATGCAAGTTTACAAAGAAATTGAGAGTATCTAACTTCGTCACAGGAGAAGACTTGCTACAAGTGTGGGGAAAATAGGGTAATGCTGGAGTTCCCATTTAAGGAACAGAAATTGTATTTTATATTAGTTATTGGCTTATTTTATCTGATAATGCACCTTTATCTAGTAATCTAAAAAAACAGACAGGGAGTAAAAGACAGCCCTTGCATATATAGCAATCCAACCCACATTTCTTCATGACCAAACTCTGTTGAGCCTGGCAAAGTAGTGTTTATATAATGACATCAATGTGGGGGCCCATCTACAGAATGAATAAAGACCTCAGTGAATTTTAAACTCTATTAAAAAGGATGAACTAGAGCTGGTCATAGATGTTGAATGGGGGTTGTATGTGGAAGCATAATCTCAACATTTAAAATAATTTGTTGCAAAAATAATTTTGTATATCTGTACACCCAAATCCACCAGGCATGCAAGTTTATAGGTTTGAGGGTGAGGGGTTAGCTGCATGTCTCTGGTATTGCTGGTATTATTGTGCCATGGTTAAAAATGTTCCAGTTAAAAAAAAAAAAAATGCCTAACCACCATCTCAACCAGAACACTTGGTTGGGCTGCTACCCATGGCAATGACAGTGTGCATAGGTACCTTTACTTTAGTTTCACCTTAGACTTCTAAAAGTAGGCATCATCTTTGAAATGGAAATTGGCTGGCCTGGTTGTGCCGCCGCCCCTTTCGCTGATGACATTATGTGCAATGCAGTGCAGGACCAATGGTGTCTGTCTGCTGGTCCTGCACTGCATGTGTTGATGTTTATGGCCCGCTCATGAGCCCACGGGAGAAAAGACTACAGTGCTTGCTACGGTGGGACCATGGAATGAGGTATTCTTATATTCAGCCTAAACAAAAGTGGATCATTTTTTATTTTTCAGTCCAGGCAGAAGTTGGGCTTTATTCATGTCTTAAACCAAAATCAGTTTTTTTTTTTTTTTACATTTGAAGAGTGGGGAAAAATAAAAATCTATGTCAACTTTTTATGTCTGGCTGTGTTCCTATGGGGGAAATGTATCCTTCCTTAAAGTCTAATTGATGGGTGTAAGACAGACAGGGACGTGAGGGGGGATTCCCCTTTTCCAGTAATATAGGCACATTTTCTAGTAGATTGCTATCTGTGCCCCCATTAGGGACACTTCCTTTCACTTCCGGTCAGACACAGGACATGGACAGCATTTATAGCCG